TGGTCGACCGCTTCTGGCAGCTCTTGCGCATTTACCTCAAGTACAGGCCCGTGGCAGTCGGCAGCGCGTCCTTGCGCCGCCGCGTGCGGTCTGCTCAATGGGCCCGCTGGCATCGGGCAGACGATGCCTGGTCCAAGACGGGGGAGATACTGAAGCACCGGAACAAATGAGCGCGGCCTTCGGGAGTGCATCGGTTCCGCCCGCGGGTGGGCGGCGATCCAGACTGCTGGCGCCATCGCGGGGCGCTGGCGCCCCTGCTGTTAACTGAGGGGGGCCGCTGTTGCGAGCAATTTGCCTACGCCGACGCAGGCTTCGGCCGTGCCAGATCTGCGCCAAGGGGGGTTTGCTCGGTATCGGAAGCTTCGAAAACAGTAATTTGCGTGATCGCCCTCCGTCGCCGCCCTTCGCGACGCCAGCTGCGGCGTCGCAGCGATCGGCAAAGGGTGCGTTCCTGAGGGGGCTGTCCGCATCAGGCGAGTCACTCACTTACGTTGCAGCATTGAGGTAGATCTTGGCAGGGGGCGAGCTATACATATATATATATATATGTTCGAGATGGTGTAGGTCTGTTTCAGCTGCCGTATGTATCTATGTGTGTATATATATATATATATAGGTATGAATGTATTTATGCTTAGTCTTAGAAGTACACGCGCATGTATGTATTCATACACCTGTCTGCATCCGTGAGGGCTTCGCCCCCCTGCCGCCGGCCCCCTCTCTATCATAATGGGATATCTCAGAGTCGCGTCGGTGCGTCTCGGCGCTGTCTTGGCGCATCCGGGATCATCATGCGGGGGCGGATAGGAATCTTCAGCGCATCTTGAGACGTTGGCGTTATTTGAGGCGCCTGCGGCGAGTTGCCGCCGCCCCCTGTTTTTTTGGGGCCCGCCTATGTGGTCGAACGTTTGGGCAGTTTGGCCCAGAGCTATTGGGCCATGCCTTCCCCCAACCGTGGTGGAAACGCTTTGGGGAAGATGTGTTGGAAAAAGGCGGGTGATGATGAGGAGGAGGAGGAGGAGGAGGGAGGGAAAGGATGGGGTGAGGATGAGGAGTAGGAGGAGGAGGAGGAGGAGGAGGAGGAGGAGGAGGAGGAGGAGGAGGAGGAGGAGGAGGAGGAAAAGGAGGAAGAGGAGGGGGAGGAGGAGGAGGAGGAGGAGGAGGAGGAAGAGGAAGCCGAAGAGGAGGAGGAGGAGGAGGAGGAGGGGGCGGAGGAGGGGGTGGAGGATGAGGAAGAGGAGGGGGAGGAGGAGCAGGAGGAGAAGGAGGAGGAGGAGGAGTTGGAGGAGTTGGAGGACGAGGAGGAGGAGGAGGAGGAGGCGGAGGGGGAGGAGGAGGGTAATACTAATAATATCAGAACGATATTAGCAATCTTGTTAATAATTCGAAGAAGAAGAAGACGCATGATAGTGAAATATATTAACAGTAATAATTAGAATACTAGGCACAACTATAATAGCATTATCAGTCCTAAAAAATGATTATCAGCAATCGTACTCGTAGTATTAATGATGTTAATAAGAAACATTAAACTAACACGAATACTACGAATGATAATACTAATATTACGAATGCTAGTACTACTAAGAATACTATTATACTATTACTTTATTACCAGTAGCAGTAACAATAACACAAGAGCAATGTGAGCAATATTAGTACCACTACGAATCATACGGACGTTCCGCGGCGCGTCCTCCTGGCATGTCGCGTCTGTCGATTAGCTCTGGGGCAGCTACCATCTGCTCAGGCAACTCGAGCTTAATATCCATACCAGTTCGGTCAGGACTCGGTGCCAACGAGGACTCGACCCACAACGCTACATATGTATATATGTATATATTTATATGTAAATGTATATGCATATGTATATGTAGTTGTATATGTATATGTATATGTATATGCATAGGTATATGTATATATATGTGTATATGTAGATATATGTATAATTTATCTGTTTATGTATATGTATAGGTATATGTATATGTATATGTATATGCATATGTACATGTATATGTGTATGTATATATGTACATATATATATGTATATTGTATATCATATATACATAATATTTGTTTTAAATATTATACTATATATAACACAATCGCGGCATGGCACATCGCAGTTCAGGACGGCGTAGCACAGCACAGCTCTGGGCACAGTACTTCAATATCGATACATTTAGCATTGCATTTGCCCGTCGCCCACTCAGGTGTCTTTGAAACGTTGCCATGCCTTACATTTCTATATTCCTTTCCGGGTTCGTGGGTCGATCATTTTTTTTGGCCTGGGGCCCTTTGGAAAGGCGAGACTGCGAGTATCATGCAACAATCAGCGGCGAATCCATGACCTTGTCCTTCTTGGTCCGTCTTGGGCCCTCTTGGAGGCGTCTTTGATCTTTTTGAGGTCATGCTGGGCCGTCCTGAGGCACTACTTCGATGAATCTTGGGCCATCTTTGCGGCGTTGGTTGCTTGCCTGGGCCGTCTTGGAAGCTTATGACGCCCATTCATTGATTCTTACAAGTTGTCGTGGCTCTGGGAGCGCAGATGCACTGTTTCTGCAAGGGATCGTGCCCTCGGGGGAAGGGGGCGATGCACGCAGCTGTGTACAGCACTGGGCATTCTGCCACGCTTCCACGTGCCAGGGGGGTACGGTGGCGTATGTTGTCAGCGGGCGCGCGTGTGCGCCCACTGTTGCGTGCGTCGTGGTGTTGCGCAACAGCTCGGCATCCGCGCTGGTCATGACGGCAGCTTGTTGTCGACTTTCGCTGCCATCAGCAGCTAGCTGGGGACACCTGCTGCTACGAGTCTGGCCCGACAGGTCTCGTGACCAGTGGATGCTCCTGGTTAGTAACGTCGTCGCATCACGCCTTCAGGTTCTCTAACCGGACACGGCGACCCACTTGATAAACAAATGATCAGCACAAAATGGCTGCGGGGTATGGCTAGCGGTAGTCGGACTTGAGTGTGAGGGTACGGTGAACTTCAGCTTGGCCCGTGAACCAATCGAACGTTCGCCTGGACCTTGATGTTTTCTGCTCGTCACCAGGCTCATCCTTTTCCTCTCCTCCGCCTCCAGACCTCCGACGACGTTGGCCGTTGTTTTTTCCCGGAAAGGGCACCGTCCCAGCGTTCTCTTTTAGTGTGTTTACCCCTCGTTTTGACTTGAAGGAGGCCGGCGGATTTTCGCTCGATAAAAAACGAGGTAAAGTCCAATTTGGCGTGAACAAAAGCGTTTCGCGCGTGCCCGCTCGAGGAAAGTCGACCCCCCACCTCGGATCCTCTATCAATATCGGGGTCCGCGCACCCCCGTTTTTCCTTCGTGAAAAAGAGGGGACCATTTTCAGCAGAATTCGTGAAACAAGCCGAGGTCTGGAGCCCCGACCGCGACGCGGAAAAGCGTCCCGCGCGCAGGAATTCCCAGGATGTCTCGCGCGTGCCGCGTCCCGCGCGCACGAATTTCGAGGATGTCTCGACTAGTTCGCTTGTTTTTCCAGGATTTCCTTGGTCACAGAGGAGTTTTTGCGTACCCGCTCGAGGATTGTGCGCACCCCGCGCCAAACAATCGAGGATGTCTCGAGCGAAACACTTGTTTTGCAAAACTTGAGGGACCTGGGCGCCCCAGCATGCCCCAGGAGGCCCTGGGAGCGCGGACGCGGCGTAATTTACGAGGGATCGTGGCGTTTGGAGCGCGGACCACGCGTAATCTGCGAGGGATCGTGGCCCTCGGAGCGCGGGCGCAGAGTAGTTTGCGATGGGTCGGGGCCTTGGGAGCTCGGACGCAGCGTGATTTACGAGGGATCGTGGCCCTTGGAGCGCGGGCGCAGTGTAAAATACGAGGGATCGGGGCCCTGGGGGCTCGGACGCAGCGTAATTTAAGAAGGAACGTGACCCTGGGAGCGCGGACGCAGCGTAATTTCACAAGGGGTCGGGGCCCTGGGAGCGCGACCCCAATGTAATTTACGAGGGATCGTGGCCCTGGGAGCGCGGACGCAGCGTAATTTACAATGGATCGTGGCCCTGGGAGCGCGACCCCAGTGTAATTTACTAGGGATCGCGGCAGTGGGAGCGCGCATCGTGTGTAATTCGCAAAGGATCGTGGCCCTGCGAGGGCGGACGCAGTGTAAATTATATTGGATCGTGGCCCTTGGAGTGTGGGCGCAGCGTAATTTACGAGGGGTCGGGGCCCTGGGAGCGCGACCCCAGTGTAATCTACAAGGGATCGGGGCCCGTGGAGCGCGGACGCAGTGTGAATTGTGAAGGTTCGTGGCCCTAGGAATGCGGACGCAGCGTAATTTACGAGTGATCGTGGCAGCTGGAGCTGGGGCGTGGCGTGATTTTGGAGCACGTTCCTTGGCACGTTCCGTGGGGCGTCCCTTGGCGAGTCCCCCTGGCACGTCGCGTGGCGCGTCCCCTGGCACATCCCGTGGCACATCCATTGGCACGTTCCGTAGCGCGTCCCCTTGGCACGTCCCGCGGTGCGACCCCATAGCACGTCCCCCGTCACGTCGCCTGGCGCGTCCCTTGGGGCGTTCCGCGGCGCGTCCTCCTGGCATGTCCCCTTTTCAATTAGCTCTGGGGCAGCTACTATGTGTTCAGGCAGCTCGAGCTTAAGATCCAGATCAGTTCGGTCAGGACTCGGATGCAAAGGAGGGCTCGATCCACAATGCTATATAGCACAATCGCGACATGGCACATCGCAATTCAGCACGGTGCAGCACAGCACAGCCCTCGGCAGGGTACATCAAGATCGATACACTCAGCATTGCATTTGCCCGTCACCCAATCGGGTGTCTTTGAACACGTTGCTATGTCTTACACTTCTATATTCCTTTCCAGGTTCGTGGGTCGATCATGTTCGACAGCCCTGGGGCCCACAAGCGGCCTCCAGGCGTTGAAGATGGGGAGAAACTTCCAGTTTCGATTTGCTCGAGTCCTCCGAGATGTGGGTCTCCATCCTTCCAGTCGTTTGTCTGCTACGAGTGCGCACTCGTTCACCAGGCAGCACCTCAGTGGATCAGACTGTCAACAGTTTTTGAGGCCCGCCCGCCGACGCACCGCAGGCTGCCCGGGCCTCCCGTTAGCGCGCTTGTCGTCAGCAGCGCTCAGACGGGGGCAGCGCGAGGTGGGGGCTTTCCAGGAGGGCAGGGGGGCTCCCTGGGTGACCTTCTGACCTTCACCGACGTCATCTTAGAGGCTGGCGATCCCGTGCTGTCTGCCTTCTCAGAAGGCCGCCTCCCTGGTCCAGTCCCCTCTTGCGCGCTGCCAGTTCAGTGCTGTCGTCCTCGTCGGCGTCGTCGTCATCCTGCTCCTCCTTTTCCCTCTTACGATAATGTTTCTTCTCTTGCGTCTACCTTTTCCTTTCTCCCCCCCCCTCCCTCCTCCCGCCTCCTGCTCCTCCCCCTTCTCGTCCTCGCCTTGCTGCTTCTGTTCCTTCTCCTGCTGCTTCTCCTTCCCTGCTGCTGCTGCTGCTTCTCCTCGCCCAGTCCCTCTCCCCCTCCCCGCGATTCCTCCTTCCCCTTTGGTGCTCCTCGTGGCTTCGATGTCGTTGACGATGGTGATGACGGTCGACGGTGAGGACGACACCGACGAGGGCGCCGACGCCGACGGCGTCGGTGGCGGCGGCGGCTGCTGCAGTGGAGGCCCGCTCGGAACATGCCGCCGCAGCGCAAGTTGCTCCGGAGGGCCTCTGCCCTGACCCTGGCCGCAGGCTCCCCGCGCGCGAGAGGCATTCAGTTTTGGAGAACAGTTGTTCTTGATGTGCGAAGATCCACCGCCAGAATCTGGCCACGTCCATTGCCGCGGGATCGTGGCCTGAAGTCTCAAGTAGTGGTGGATACGGACATCTGCGCGTCCGCGTGGGCAGGCAGATATTCATATCTACTGCTCCCCGAGACGCCAGTGCACGATCCCGCGGCAGTGGATGCGGACATACTCTGGCGGCGCAGGAAGCGGCTCCAGGTGCTCTCGCGTCGACGCTAGCTACATTTTATTTGAGCACGACTCCATCGCAATTCAGTCAAGTTGGCGAAGGCCCTGGCATGACGACAACGGCTCCCGCTCCGAGACGTCCTGGCAAGAGATGCCCTCGAACTCAGGAACAGCGCCCTCGGCCGAGACTTGATCGCGATTCAGTCAAGTTCGCGAAGGTCCAACTCCGACGTAAACGGGTCACGTTCGATACCTTTGCTCGCACATTACTTCGAGACGCCCTGGCCAGAGACGTTCCAAAACTTGCGCAATCCAGTCCAGGTGGCAAAGGCCCAACTAGGACGGCAACGGCTCCCGCTTGATACTTCTTAATTTACTCCCACGCGCCCTGGTCGAACGTTTTTTCACACTCAGGAAGGGCGCTTTATGCTGAGTGCTTCTCCCAGGAGCTGGTGTGAAAATACTCCTTCGTCCAAAAAAATGGGCTGGTTCACAGACTAGAGAGCGGTACGCGGGATGGGGTGGAAACAAGTGAGGGTCAAGGCAGCTTGTCAAATGTTATGTTCGCCATCGGAGGCCCACCAGGAGGCCCCTGGAGGCTTCGGAGGCGCCCGCCAGTCCGAGGAGGCCGCCCTGGACCCCCCTGAGGCTCAGGAGCGTCCAAGAGCCTTGCCCTCCGCCTGCCGCCTCGCCGGGCCCACGATCGGAAGCGGATCAGGGGCGAGGGGCTGCCCCCTGGGGGGAGGGCCGAGACGTCTGGGGGCCGCCGAGGGATGGCAGCAACCCGCACATCGCGTATCCCTCAAAAGCCCAGGCCCGCAGGCAGGGGGGGGGGCCGCAGCGTGCGGGCTCCCTCCTCTGGGGCGCCGTGGGCGCCCTCCCCTTCTCCGTGGTCCCCCCCCTTGCCCATCTCGTCGCTGCCGCCTCGCCTGCCGCCTCGCCTGCTGCCTCGCCTGCCGCCACAGAACCTGCTCCAGGCGCCTGCCGCCTCGCCTGTCGCAACGGCGCGGCGAGCGCCGCCTTCGCCCCTGGGGCGGCGGCGGCGGCGCCGGCGCGGGCCGCGGCGGACCGCGCCGACGCGGAGCGCGACGCGGACGCGAGGCGCACCTCGCGCGCGGGCGCTGCCGCCTCGGGTGGGCGGGCGGTGCCGCGGGGCTGCCGCGGAGGGGCCTCGTGCCGCCGCGGGGGATCGGAGTCGCCGCGGGGGGCCTGGGCTTGGGCGGCCTGCCCCGCAGAGGGGCGGGGGGTCGAGGAGTGGGACGAGGGGGGCGGTTGAGGAGGTGCGGTTGAAGAGAAGGAGTAGGAGGAGGAGGAGGAGGAGGAGGAGGAGGAGGAGGAGGAGGAGGGAGGAGGAGGAGGAGGAGGGAGGAGGAGGAGGAGGAGGAGGAGGAGGAGGAGGAGTTGGAGGAGGAGGAGGAGGAGGAGGAGGAGGAGGAGGACCGGTGTAAACCCAAGAGTCATCAACGATGTCGGAATCAACGCTCCCTCCAGGCCCCCCATTCGTAGGCCCCTACAGAACTTCATTTCCACAGGGAACTGCTTCGTTGGAAAACATCCGTTTGAAGAGCCAGAAGCATGCCAAAACATTTTTCTTGGGACTCCAACGCCACGGATCAACCTGAGTGCAACTTCTTGACGATCCTGAATCGTGCCAGCAAGCCATTCTTGGGACTTCAACACCGCGAATACACGTGACAGTTGTGCCCTCATAATCCTGAAGCTTTCCATAACACCATGTCTGGTACGTTGACCGTGGGAATATGTTCCCCAATCAGAGCTTGCCTCTGTAGGGGTCCTAGCGGATTCACATGGTCAGGTTAGGTTTGTCGCCGATTTTCGCTGCACGCCCGGGTGCCCGGGTGCCCGGGGGTGCCTGGGGCCCGGGTGCCCGGGGGGTGCCCAGGTGTGCCCGGGTGCCCGGGTGCCCGGGTGCCCGGAGCTCAATAGCCCTATAGCCCTATAGCCCCCTAGCCCTATAGCCCTGATTGTTTTTTTCTCCAGTATCATGAAGCTCTTGCATTCTTTCATCAGGAATGTGCGCGGCGCTAAGGCGAGAACCACATTTTGCAAAGGAACCGCTCTCAATTCGTGAATGTCTTGCACATCTTGAGAACGAATGTGCGCGGCGCCATGACGAGAAGAGGAGGAGGGCCAGTGTAAACCCAAGATGACAAGTCTGCAGGTCCTGGGACTTCAATTCCGCGCATGAACGTGACTTTTGCGTCCTGACATTTCAAATTCTTGCGGGAATACCTTTTTTCGGATTTACACCATACGAATCCTTGAGTCTGGCGTGAACTTATAAGACGAATGTGCGCGGCGAAAAGGCGAACGCTACATTTTGATGAGGAACTGCCTTCCACCCTTACGACGGTTGCGAACTTTTCCCTGGAAAGGGCGTAGCCTCAGGGTTCTCTTTTAGTTTGTTTACCCCCAGATTTGACTTGAAGGAGGCTGGCGGATTTCCGCTCGATAAAAAACCAGGTCAAGTCCAATTCGGCTTGAAAAATTGCGTTTCGCGCGTGCCTGCTCGAGGAAAGTCGACCCCCCACCTCGGATCCTCGATAAATAACGGGGTCAGCGGACCCCGTTTTCCTTCGTGAAAAAGAGGGTGTGGGGCATCTTTAGCAGAATCCTAAACTAAAACGAGGTTTGGAGCCCCGACCGCGACGAGGAAAAGCGTCCCGCGCGCAGGAATTCCGAGGATGTCTCACGCGTGCCGCGTCCCGCGCGCAGGAATTTCGAGGATGTCTCGGTTAATTTGTTTGTTCTTCCAGGATTTCCTCGGCCACAGTGGGGGGTATCTAACATGTTCTGCCAGAGCGTGAAACTGTTGAGTTTTTGCATGCCCGCTCGAGGATGGTGCGCCCCCCGCGCCAAACAATCGAGGATGTCTCGAGCGAAACGCTTGTTTTGCAAAACTTGAGGGACGTGGGCGCCCCAGCATGCCCCAGGAGGCCCTGGGAGCGCGGACGCGGCGCACTCTACGAGGGATCGTGGCGTTTGGAGCGCGGACCACGCGTACTTTGCAAGGGATCGTGGCCCTCGGAGCGCGGGCGCAGCGTAATTTACGAGGGGTTGGGGCCTTGGGAGATCGGACGCAACGTGATTTACGAGGGATCGTAGCCTTTGGAGCGCGGGCGCAGCGTAACATATTATCCCGGCAAAGCAACCTAACAGCGATGTGTAGAAGCATATCTGGAAGCATTCCCCTTAAGATTCAGATGAGAATCCTGTTGTAGAATTCTGTTGTTCTCGCAGTCGTAGTCGCATTCGCGATGGCAGTCGCAGTGGCAACGGCAGTCGCAGTCACAGCCTCAGCCTCAGCCTGCCTCAGCCTCAGCCTCAGCCTGCCTCCTCAGCCCTCAGCCTCAGCCTCCTCAGCCTGCTTCAGCCTCAACTCAGTCTGCCTTCAGCCTCAGCCTCAGCCTGCCTCAGCCTCAGCCTGCATCAGCCTCAGCCTCAGCCTCAGCCTGCCTCAGCATCAGCCCTCAGCCTCAGCCTCAGCCTGCCTCTGCCTCAGCCTGCCTCAGCCTCAGTCTGCCTCAGCCTCGGCCTCAGCCTCAGCCTGCCTCAGCCTGCCTGCCTGCCTCAGCCTCAGCCTCAGCCTGCCTCAGCATCAGCCTCAGCCTCAGCCTCAGCCTCAGCCTCAGCCTCAGCCAGCCTCAGCCTCAGCCTGCTTCAGCCTCAGCCTCAGTCTGCCTTCAGCCTCGGCCTCAGCCTCAGCCTGCCTCAGCCTCAGCCTGCATCAGCCTCAGCCTCAGCCTCAGCCTGCCTCAGCCTCAGCCTCAGCCTGCCTCAGCCTCAGCCTCAGCCTCAGCCTCAGCCTCAGCCTCAGCCTCAGCCTCAGCCTCAGCCTCAGCCTCAGCCTCAGCCTCAGCAGTCTGCCTCAGCCTCAGCCTCCTCAGCCTGCCTCAGCCTCAGCCTCAGCCTGCTTCAGCCTCAGCCTCAGTCTGCCTTCAGCCTCGGCCTCTCAGCCTCAGCTGCATCAGCCTCAGCCTCAGCCTCAGCTGCCTCAGCATCAGCCTGCCTCAGCCTCAGCCTCAGCCTCAGCCTCAGCCTCAGCCTCAGCCCTCAGCCTCAGCCTCAGTCTGCCTTCAGCCTCAACCTCAGCCTGCCTCAGCCTCAGCCTGCCTCAGCCTCAGCCTCAGCCTCAGCCTCAGTCAGCCTCAGCCTCAGTCTTCCTTCAGCCTCGGCCTCAGCCTCAGCCTGCCTCAGCTCAGCCTGCCTCAGCCTCAGCATCAGCCTGCCTCAGCATTCAAAATGTGGCTCGGGAATGGAGTTCTGGGAACTCGAAGAACACGAAGTGGCCTACAGTTGGCTCCGGGCATTCAAAATCATGCCCAGGAATGGAGTTCTGGGAACTCGAAGACCACGAAGTGGCCTACAGTTGGCTCCGGGCATTCAAAATGTGGCCCGGGAATGGAGTTCTGGGAACTCGAAGAGCACGAAGTGGCCTACAGTTGGCTCCGGGCATTCAAAATGTGGCCCGGGAATGGAGTTCTGGGAATTCGAAGACCACGAAGTGGCCTACAGTTGGCTCCGGGCATTCAGAATGTGGCCCGGGCATGGAGTTCTGGGACTTCGAAGACCACGAAGTGTGTAACTGTTGGCTGAAAAAAGTCCCCGGCACTTCCCCGGATCGTGCCCAGACACCCCTGGGGCGTCATGATGCTCTCTTTTGACCCTACTAGAGACCTATCAGTCTTCGCTGTTAGGTATCAAGGGATCGGGGCCCTGGGGGCTCGGACGCAGCGTGATTTACGGGGGATCGTGGCCCTGGGAGCGCGGACGCAGCATAATCTACAAGGGGTCGGGGCCCTGGGAGCGCGACCCCAATGTAATTTACGAGAGATCGTGGCCCTGGGAGCGCGGAGGCAGCGTAATTTACGAGGGATCGTGGCCCTGGGAGCGCGTCCCGTGGCACGTCCATTGGCACGTTCCGTAGCGCGTCCCCTCGGCACGTCCCGCGGTGCGTCCCCGTGGCACGTCCCCTGGCACGTCGCCTGGCGCGTCCCTTGGGACGTTCCGCGGCTCGTCCTCCTGGCATGTTCCTCCTCGCAGTTCAGGACAGCGCAGCACAGCACAGCCCTCGGCACGGTACATCAAGATCGATACACTCAGCGTTGCAACCTGGCACGTTCCGTGGCGCGTCCTGTGGCGAGTCCCCCTGGCACGTCGCGCAGCGCGTCCCGTGGCACGTCCATTGGCACGTTCCGTAGCGCGTCCCCTTGGCACGTCTCGCGGTGCGTCCCCGTGGCACGTTCCCCTGGCACGTCGCCTGGCGCGTCCCTTGGAACGTTCCGCGGCGCGTCTTCCTGGGATGTTCCCCTGTCATTTAGCTCTGGGGCAGCTACTATGTGCTCAAGCAGCTCGAGCTTAAGATCCAGATCAGTTCGGTCAGGACTCGGATGCAAAAGAGGACTCGATCCACAACGCTATAGAGCACAATCGCGGCATGGCACATCGCAGTTCAGCACGGCGCAGCACAGCACAGCCCTCGGCACGGTACATCAAGATCGATACACTCAGCATTGCATTTGCCCGTCGCCCAAGTAGGTGTTTTTGAAACGTTGCTATGTCTTACATTTCAATATTCCTTTCCGGGTTCGTGGGTCGATCATGTTAAGACGAATGTGCGCGGCGTAAGGCGAGAGCCGCATTTTGACAACGACCCGCCCCCCATCCGTGAACCTCTTGCAATCCTTAAACACGAATCGATATCAACATTTTGAAAAGCACCCGCCCTTCACCCTAAAACCGGTTGCAAACTTTCAAGACGAATGCGCGCGGCGTTGGGGCGATAATCACATTTTGACGACCACTCGCCCTCCATCCGTGCAGCTGTTGCAGATTTCAAGTTTCAAGGTCATACATGGCGCGGGGTCTCAGGCGAACCGCCCGGCCCACCCTACGCACACGGGGGAGCGGCAGACATGAGTTAGTAGTGACCTGTACGGAAACGGAGGAGGAGGAGGCGGAGGAGGAGGAGGAGGAAGAGGAGGGGTTGGAGGCGGAGGAGGAGGAGGAAGAAGAGGAGGAGGACGAGGAGGAGGGAGGAGGGAGGAGGAGGAGACGGACAAGCACAGGGAGGGCCAGGG